AGGTGAAGCTTTTTGAAAGGGATACATAGGGCAGTGGGATAACAACATCCTAGTTATAAAAGTATAAGAAATGATCATTTTAGGAAATTTGGAAAACACAAAAAGTGTTCAGAGATGAAAGTAAAAATCATCTGTATGCCCTCATTTAAAGAGAAAGAATCTGTTAATATGCTGATGAATTTGTCTTCATGTTTTTCTGTCCTAGATAGTCCCATTTTCAAGTAATTTTGACTTCAGCCTTGACGTACCAGATCCTGTGTTAAGCTTTCTGAATTGTCACGTATCGTCACCGTAATTTAGTCTAGCAGCAGCTGAGGTAGTCTTTAGGGCAGCCAGTGAGCTGGGCCTTGAAGGATAGTTTTGAGAGAACAGATGATTACTGTAGCAGTATTTTGCCTTACTTTTATACCACATGAGAATGGAAGTGTCAGCATTATCTTGACCAAGTGCTGACAAAAAAATATAAGTAATCTTTATATTTAATAGGAGAAACCTACTGCATCATACATTAACTTGTTATGTACTTAATAGTAATAGTCATGTTGAATAAGAAGGTAAACATAGATCTTGAACATTATCAGGGGTAGCTGTCTGTCCTATCCCTTCTCATATAAAATCGGAAAAATCACTGCATCTTTTTATCAGGCTACAAGTGTGTATATTATCACATTTTAAATCTCTTGATGTGTGCATATATAATTTTTTAGAGACTTCATTGATGGAGATGTTGAGAGTCTTATGGATGAATTAGAAGTAGAAAAATCACTCAAACACCATGACAACATCGTAGATGAAATTGAGTGCATCGAGAAGACCCTCCTGAAACGTCGAGCGGAGCTCAGGGAGGCCGACCGGCTGCTGGCGGAGGCTGAGAGTGAACTTTCATGCACAGCAGAGAAAGTATGTGCGGTCGTGGTTTGGGGTGAGATGGCTTCACTGTCATCAGCAGGAAGGGTTAGAAAGAAAACGTGGTAAGAGCACAGTGGTCCAAGTCAGACAGGCTGTGCTCTGCTAGTTAAGGAGCTTTGGGCAAGTCACTTAAGTCCCTGAGCTTTGCTTGTATCTATAAATTCAGGCTAAGAAAACCTGAGGTGTTCAGTGTACATTAAATGAAGTAGCATATTTAAAGCTCCTGAAAGTCATTTAGTTCCTAACACACCCCATCTCCTTGTCGGGTGTATCTCTTTTTAAAATTATTTGGACTCTGATACTTGTGTTTGTTAAATAAGTCAGTCTTATATTATTATAAAACAACAATGGACCTCACAAGACTCTTAGTCTCACTTTGTTCCCCAAGTTGATGGTGACATAAAATCAAATATTTTTTGGTTTCGGTCTTAAAGGCAGAAGAAGTTGGAGAGAAAGAGGAGTGGCCTTTTATGGAGCCCCTGCTATGACCACACATTGGCTGTTTTATAAATACCACTTCATTTAACCTTCCTGGCAACCCTGTAAGATGGTCGTTAGCCCAGTTCACAGATGTAGCTCAGAGAGGCTGGTGACTAGCCCACACAGCTGAAGTTCTACCTCATGAAGTGAGCTTTTTCAGTCAGATGAGAATTCTAGGGTGAAAAAAGTCCCATATCCACATGGAGCACCTCAGGAACTATTATTTTTGTATTGTTATTTCAATATGGGTTGATTTAAATAAATAGAAACCTGTTACCCAGGAACTGAAAGGAAGGATTTATTAAAGAAATTCTGTGAGTGATGACTTTGCTTTAACAAGAATGGGAAAACGTCCTCATCTCTTTTCGGATGATCAGTTCCCTCTTCTGTCACATGTTGGATTACTGTGAGAAAAAATAGGTGTGAGCAGGACTAGAGAAAAATTAATCACTAGTGTAAAAAGAAAATCGCTGAGACCAGCAGTAGGCAGAGACAGGAAGTGGGCTGAGGCTAATAAGCTCCTCCCCCTTCATCCTCCCACAGTGACTCTGGGAGGCAGCTTGCTAAGGAGGAAGAGGGAAGGAGAAAGTGCTGCATTTTGTAAGGAATGTGCCAGACGTGTTAAAACCTGTCATAGAAAAAGATTAACAGAACACTACTTAGAAATGTGGCTGGCTTTCTGGAGTGTGTAGTGAGTTTTGTCCAACGCTTGCTGATGAATCTGGTAGAAACCAGCCATCTGAAGTGGAAGGAAGGGTGGTAAAATTAGTCTGGCTCTTTGGGAGCTGGCCAAACTCTCGCATTCACACGGGGTATTTACTGGACAAGTTTCACGCAGAGACTCCTCTGACCTGAGCGCAACTGCAACACTGAGTTTTTGGGATGAAAGTCAGTCACTGCTCAACCAAGTGCAAAGTGTACTGTTTTCAGACCCCTCATGACATTGTTCTGAGCCTTTTATTTTAGACAGAAAAAGAAACCAAGTTGATTTTTTAAATGTTTTTGCCACATTTTGCATAGGAAGATTTTGAAAGACTTTAAAACTATGTAATATTTGTTTCTCAGCCATAGTTAAATCATCCTTAGATTAATGGGGTTTTACTTATCAGGATGATATATGGAATAGAGCAAGAATCTCTATGTGGAGGGAATATTGATAAAATCACTTGATTTGACACTTGAGTAGATATTTTCAATTGGAAAAAATGATGTAATAATATTACAGATCATTTTTAAGTAAAAGATCATCTACTGTCTCACCACCGTCAAATGACTGTTTTAATTTTTTGGTAGCCTTTCTGTCTTTGTTGACAAGATACAGTTTTACATAGTTGTTCTTACCGTGCTTGTACCACTTTAAATTTATTTTTTTCAGCCAACAGTGTGTAATTAGCATTCTTCCATGTTTCTACATTGCCATCTTATTTTAAAGGCTACATAGTATTCTGTTGTGTTGATGCATTCTCACTTACTGAATCTATTATTTGTCAGATCTTATATTATTTCAGTATACAATGAGCATTTCTTGGGTAGTAATTCTTCTGAATTCTTTTCGGAAAATTGGAGACTCAAAGTGAATGAACATTCTTTATCAGTCTTTCTGTATTGCCTTGTTGTTTTTCCAGAGGAGTTGTACCAGTTTACACTACCAGTAGCTATGAGAGAGTATTGTAACTGAATTGCTTTTAATGACAGTTTCTTTTCTAGGCAAAAAATGCTGTTGAAAAGTTCACTGATGCCAAGAGAAACTTACTGCAAACTGAGAAAGATGCTGAAGAGCTAGAAAGGAGAGCTCAGGAAACTGCGGTCAACCTTGTCAAGGCTGATCAGCAGCTCAGGTGGGTGGAAACCCTCAGCCATCGGTGTGTTCAGTGAGATGAATGAGAAGTTTGATTCCAAGAGGATGATAATTGCTTTATGGTGAGTAATGCATGTTAAGTCTAAGGAGCCTGAGGGAAATAAAACAATGTGTTTTAGATTGCTCCAGGCTGACACAAAGGATTTGGAACAGCACAAAATCGAGCAAGAAGAAATCTTGAAAGAGATAAACAAAGTAGTTGCAGCAAAAGACTCAGACTTCCAGTGTCTAAACAAGAAGAAGGAGAAACTGACAGAAGAGTAAGTATGGCCTCTGTAGGGCTTCACGGAGCTCTGTCTCCCTTCCTGCCTGCTCTAGCACTGCCCCTGCTTTGCAGGCTGCAGAAGCTGCAGAAAGACATCGAGACCGCAGAACGCACTGAGGATCACCACCTGCAGGTGCTTCAAGAGTCGGAGACCCTCCTGCAGGCCAAGAGAGCGGAGCTGGAAAAGCTGAAAAGCCAGGTATGGCAGCAGACACCTTGAAAAACCAGTTCACCTGCTTTGAAACCTACATTCATGTTATGGTTGTAAAAAGTAATACACGTTGGACTGTGGAAAAGACTGGAAAATACATAATAAACTACAAAGCATAAATGAGGCGATGTATCCTAGTGGTTAAGACTCCAACCCAATTTGAATCTCAATTCAGTACGATATGCTATTGAATAAAACAAGTGAGTCCCAAAACAGGATACACTTAGATTATTTACGTTAAATGTGTTTATGAACATTTGTGTTTGAAGTTTTAGTCTTACAGCAAAGTACAAAAGCGGTCATTTGGTAAGGGGGGTTTTAAGCACTTTCTGTTTTCTTCCTTTGCACGTCTGTGTTTTCTGCTTTTCTATAAATGAATATGTATTGCCCTCAAAATTGTAAGTTTTAAATTTACAGAATGAGTAATTCTGTAAAATCCCTGCCTAACTTCCATTGCCAAGGTAGTTGTCAGTTGGAATAAGGTGCAGATCTGAAAGTTCTTTGAAAACCATAACCTGAGGGATAGTCACTATTATCACATTGTTGTTTTTGCTGTGATTTGAGTGTTTTTACGTATGTGAGCTCACGGCCTTTCTTAGGCATTTTATGCCTGCACCTCCAGCCTGGCCTTCCTGACTCTTGCAGCTAGGATAATCAGAGTTAGACTACCTCCTAATTTCCCCACACAACCTTTAGCTGGACTAAATATTCTTATCCTCCATCTCAGCACTTTGTCAAGCTTTGCATTCTTTCGTTTCCTTTAATGCAGGTGGCGGGTCAGCAGCAGGAGATGGCTGTCTTGGACAGACAGTTAGGGCAAAAAAGGGAGGAGCTGCATCTGCTCCAGGGAAGCATGGTCCAGGCCAAAGCTGACCTCCAGGAAGCGTTGAGACTGGGAGAAACTGAAGTCACTGAGAAGTGCAATCACATTAGGGTACGTTTTTCAGTAGTTTCTCTTAAGAGTCCTGGGATAGTGCTATAGATTTGTTTTGAGATATTTTCATTGGTTCCCCCCAAAATGCAAATATAAATTCCTAAATCTTGACTCCTCTGTAACATCAGGTTGGTGTTGTGTTATGTATCCATGCTGTGGCTGCCATGTGTAGCTCTTTCCCCATATTGTTTTCTGGACATGCCCAAGGTTTTCTGCCTCTGTGCCTTTCTCATACCATTTCTTGTCCAGGAATTCTCTTTCTGGGAATGTCCAGATGCAACCCAATTTTCGTGGTCCAGCTTCATGTCACTAAGAAGACTTCTTCAATTTTTCCTTTACCCTAGAATGTGTTTCTCTCACTTCTGAGTTGGCAGCACTCTGCACATTTCCTGGGGCATCTAGCCTTCCGTGATCGTGTTTATGTTCCCTACCTTACTTCCCCACAGGGTGCTAAGCCCCTTGAGGGCAGGAGAGGGATCTGAATCAGCCTTTTTTCTCTATAACACATCGCCTTGCTCATAGTAAACACTGCACATACATTTTAAATGAAGATAGTATGTTACTGTCTTACTTCTGTTATACTAAAATGTTAGTGTAAAATATATTGCTGCTCTTGACATGAAACACAAAAAATGAGCTTGTTTCCAAATGAAAATTGCTGTGAAATGAAACAGTAACAGAATGATTTTAAAGTAATTTCCATTCATAATTTAGTGAAGATAGGTTGACCTTTTTTTTTTTTGCACAGGAAGTAAAATCTCTTTTGGAAGAACTCAGTTTTCAGAAAGGAGAACTGAATGTCCAAATTAGTGAGAAGAAAACTCAACTTTCACTTATAAAGCAGGAAATTGAAAAAGAGGAAGAAAATCTTCAGGTAGTTTTAGGGCAAATGTCTAAACATAAAACTGGTAAGTTTAAAGGAAAACAAAGATACAAAGTTTGGAAATGTCTATATTCCAGATCACAGAAAAAATACAAATGGTCAAGTAAACTTTTAAAGTTTAACCTTATTACTTACTAATCAAAGAAAAGCTTTTGAGTGTAAAAGGAATATGATATTTTCTGCCATTCAAGTCGATTAAAAGCAAAATAATCATATTCATTGCTGCCCTGGGTGTGATGAAAGAAGTGCACTTGGGGCTGTTGATTGAAGTATGAATTGGAACAGCCCCTAGTGCTGTAGGGCCCTTAAAATTCACACCTGTTAAACCAGGTAGCCCATTTCTGTTTATCTCGAGAGGACAAGCATTTATGCACATTGCAGCAATGTTTGTTTTATTTCTTTTTTTTTTTTAAGAAATAAACCTTTATTTCCTTTTTTCACAAATTAAGCTGACTGAGTCAGTTACTTGCAGCAGAATTTATAATGACAATTTGGAAACACGACCAATTTAAAAACCATATTTTGACATTTAATGACATGCAAAAATGCTGATGAGAGAAGAATGAAAAATAGATAAAAGCTGAATATGGAGTATAGTCCCAGTTTATTTTCAGGAGTGTGTGTGTGTGCACGCACGTGTGCGTGCGCACGCACACACGCGTGTGAGCTCCTGGAAGGAAACACATCAAAATGCTGTTGCATAGTGATTGTCTTTGGCTGGTAGGACAGTGATGGGTATTCATTTTTTCTTGGATACTTTTTTCCAAATTTTCTATAATAAGCAAATATTTTTGTAATCAGAAGAAGTGGTTAATATTTTTTAATCTAATTGTATAAATCTCAGCTGATAGATTTTAAAGTTTTTCCTGTTTATTTTGATTTAAATTATTTTAGGCAGGTTAAGTGCTTTTAGAACTAGATCTTCATTAAATGTTTTGTTTAAATGTTTTTAACAAATTAATGTTTCGCAGTACTTTTAAAGGATTTTTTCATTAAAAATACAATTAATTAGTTCCATTAATTCAGCACAACAAGTATTTTTTGATTATCTGTTGTTTCTTGTATCAGCCAATAGCATTACTTTGTTTCATTTTGTAAATGTTTCCGCATTCATTTAATAGTGTGGACCATGCTTTATTTCTGTTAGAACTAAAGAATATTCTGGACATGTTGCAACTTGAAAACAATGAGCTACAAGGTTTGAAGCTACAACATGACCAGAAAGTGTCTGAGTTGGAGAAGACTCAGGTGGAAGTGTTGGAGGTAACAAGCAAAGCCGTTCTTGCCCACAGCAAGCTGCAGCCTTCTGCTAGCGTGCCTGAGTCCTCTTTTATCTGCTTTAGGGGAAACTGGAGTTGGAGAATTTGCAGCAGACAGCCCTGCGACAGCAAGGGGAGATAGAGTGGCAGAAGCAGCTCCTAGAGAGGGACAAACGAGAAGTAGAGCGAATAACCGCTGAGACCCGAGCATTGCAATTGTGTGTTGAGTCTTTGTGCAAAGAGAAGGAAGATCTGGAAGAGAAGTGTGACAGCTGGGAGAAGAAGTTGGCACAAACCAAACGGTGAGAGCAGGAGCAAGTAGGCTTGTTAGGAGCCTTTCTGGAAGGTTAAGTTATTAGAAACACAGTATTTAAAAAATCAGAAAATTGAGAAAAGGCAAAAAAATACAAAATACCCCACAAACTCAGTATCATCATACAGTTCACCAAGAATATTTTTGGAGTTTCCTTTTAGGTTTTTCATTTTAGGTTTTTCCCCCCAGGCATGTTTTAAAATACCCTATTGTGTATTTTTTTTTAAGTAAAATAATACACGCTGG